GGGGTCATTTCTGGCCAAATTTTAGCTGACGTTATTTGTGAATGGTCCCTAACCTTGCAGTGTTGTTAGGAGCCTTAATCCTATTAAAAAAAAAAAAAGTTTTCCAATTTTTAATACATGTTGTCCAGTTTAATGTGTCAATGACCAATGACCATGGGGTCAAAGTAACTTTCGACCGCTCACTTCATGAATAACTTTAAGGTTACCCCGGATGTGTGTGCAAGATCAAATAAGGTTCTAAATGGAGGGATACATTTACTTTTACCGGCCATAGTTAAGATATTAAACTGATATTGAAACTCGTTTTTAGTAGAACCATATATTAATTCTTGTGTGATGTGTACCCGTCGGTTCACCATAAGTGTGGCGTCGGTGGCCCAGTGGTTAGGCTCTCGGACTCGCAATCGTACGGTCGTGGGTTCGAAACCTGGCAGGGGATCGAGAACCAACTGGATTCTACGTTGCGATGTTGAAAAAGACCGTTTACACGTATTTTCCCATTCATTTGGCTCGATGCTATCGGTGATGGACGTAAAATCTCGAGGTGTCGCCTTTAAAATAACTTTGCAGTGTTGTTAAGCGCGTTAATATGATAAAAAACCCAAAACAACACATTTTCCAATTTTTAATACATGTTGTCCAGTGTGATGTCTCAATGGCCATCGGGTTAAAGTAACCTTCGACCCCTCATTCCACGAACGACGTAAAGGTTACCCAAATGTGACTCAACAGAGAATGGAGACCTCGGATGTGTGTGCTGGATCAAGTAAGGTTCTGAATGGAGGGCTGAAGTTTACTTTTACAGGCCACAGTTAAGATAAACTGGTGTTGAAACTCGTTTGAGTAGAACCATGAATCAGTCCCTGGGTGATGTCTGCACGTCGACTCACAATAAATGCTGAGAGAGTCGAGTAGAAAACTGCACGAGATGCAGAACAATCTGATACTGATCGAAACATAAGAAAAGGTTATCTGTTGTGTAATACATGTAATATATAATTGTTGGCGCCCCCCCCTTACAACACAGTTTTAACCACTTAAGTAGCACTCTTCTCTGTCTCTCTCTGTAGCTTGGGCTGAAAGGGACATAACGTACCAGCCCGGAGATACTAAAAAACAAAAAGATCCCACCCACTGCACCACTGACACCAAGGGCTGTCCGTCAGATTTTGTTGTGTCTTGTTTGACTGCATTGTGGGGGGAACCATGGTTATGATTCCGAACATAGATGTACACTATGGAGATAACTCTATGATTCCGAATCAGGGTTTCCCAAATTGTGAACCCTTCATTCGGAACCTACCACGCACTTCCGAGGTCTTCATTCTCAGCGGGGTCGCATTTGGATCACCGTGACGTCAAACACGAAAGACCCTCTTTAAACTTATTTCAAGAGGAGGGGGAGAGGGGGTTGAACTTTATTTTTACCGTCGAAAGAAGGCATGCATGATGGCAGAAAGAAACGCCAGAATTACTGTGACCGGTCAGAACATGCGCTCTGGGTCGACTCATCTGGCAGTTTGTAGCAATAATGGAGGGAGGGATGATTTTACGCATTTGTTTGAGTCTCTCTCTCTCTCTCTCTCTCTCTCTCTCTCTCTCTCTCTCTT